CAATATCTGCTTCTTACCTGATTGCAGAGATGTTTTTTGTCCGTTGACGATCCAGGGCCTCTGCTCTCTCTTCAAGTTCATTAAGCTGATCTTGAATCTGTTTGGCCTTATCTTGGTCCCCCAAGTCCTCAGCCATAGCCTTCAATCAAACAGCAACTCATTAGGCACTACTCTCTACCACAGAGCTAGTCACAAACCAAGGGATAGGCCCAGGAATCAGCCAGCTAACCCTATTTCAGTTGCAAATATTCTACCTAGTATGGTAAGAACACAATGAAGACCTAAAACTCTCCTTGCAGCTCAACACAAAACAGGACTTAGGACTTTGAAGAACTCTGAAAACCTTTAAAACCCCTTAAACTTTAAGGAAGATGTAGGAACACGACACCCAGCACGAGGAGGGCAAGTCAGTCAGATGAAAATTTAATATCACTATTTAGCAGCTCAGGCAAAGAATGATTATCTCTGCAACCATCAGTTGCCCCTTATTTCAGGGAGCTGAAGAATCCCTTACCAGGCCACCAGAGCAACAACAGCAGGTTCTTATGCCACCTGGTGCCAACACAACACAATTACACCCTTCTGCAAGGTAAAGCTAACAATTTATGCCTCCCTGCATAGTAAAGTGATGACCAAACCACACAACTAAGCCAAAGAACATAGAACTAGGAATTAGTAGAAACTCTTTGTTTTTACTGCACGAATGTCTGGAAAAAAAGGACTGCACAAATAAAACCAAACAAAATGTGGTATGTCTTTGTCTTCAGAGATACTTAAGGCTGCTTGTCTTCTTGACTTCTCAAAAAGAGACAGCTCTAATTCTTGGCAATTGCCCTTAGGAAAAGGGTGCAATAGCTTTAACTTGGTTCTCAGTGTTTTGAACCCAGCAATGAACCTTGAAATCCACCTTTCAGCTGCATAAAGTGGAGCTTATTGCTGACTACTGCCAAAATCCAGATGAGCACCAGTTCTTCAAAATCAAAGACTGTATTAAGCTCGCAGGCATCATCCCCTCTCTCACCTTCTCCTTTAACAGCTGAGTTTTCTTCATAGCATAATTTGGAGGTGCTTTTCTGAACCTCTCCTTCTCTTTGACAATCTGTAAGATGCAAAAGGAAACAGCAAGAATATGCAAATATAAAATGTCTGTTTTGATACTTGGACACCAGAAACAACAGATCAGGATCACATGAGAAACACACTGCCACAGAATTTTACTCATGCTCTTTGCTGCATATTTTAATTTGTGACTTGGTAACGAGTTACAGCTCCATTCCCCTCACTTACAACCTACAAAAATCTAATGCTAATCACATTTAGTGAGCATTAAGCAAGTATTAAACTGCAGAAACTGTGATAAATGCATCTATTGTGATGCTGTTAGCTTTTCAGAGCTTGAGAACTAAGCTGCCACACTCAGGAGTTCAGAGCTCTGCAACACAAGCTGAAGAGAAAGCAGCAGGGCACAGAGGATGAAGCAAAGCAGGAGGGAGCACCAACCAACAGCTGGATCACCAGGCCACTCTCTAGTTATGCAACTTCATTTTGAGCTCTTTATTTTCTCCTAAGGGAGCAGATACCACGATCATTTTGCTCTGTTAGAGTCAGTGCCCTACTCCACGTGTTCCTTGCACCTTCAGGCACTGCCACAGCCTCACTACAATGCACTGTTTACCTCCTCTATGTCCTGGTCGTTGAACTTGTAGTTGAGGGCTTCTTTGATGGACACTTCCTTCTTGTTTATCTCATCTAGTGTGGGTAGCTGCATCCCAGCAGAGAACATCTAAACAAAGAGTTAAAGACTTTAAGTAAAGTACCCTTGACAGAAGGGCTGCTAAGAAGAAACTGAGGTCTTGCCAACTTACCGCTTCCTTCCACTTCATAAACTCACTTTCAGTGAATTCCTGATTTGAGACAAACTCCAAACGAAACACACGTGAATCACTGCCGTGCCTACAAGGAGAGAGTGTCACATCATCCCCCTCTGGCCATGCAGAGCTGTCATCTTGCATCTATAGCTGTAAACTGAGCCAAGAAGCCCAAAACCAGGCACTTCAAGGCTACTCCTGTGGCTCACAAACCATCTGTTGCCACCTTCAGTCAAGTCAGCCACAGTTCAGGTGCCAACATCAGCTGTCAGGAGTAATGCAAAGGAATCCTAGACAGGGAGCCTGCAGGAAACAGTCACTCAGCTGTGGCAGTAAAACCCTCAGGAGCAAACAAAACCAGACCCCTCTCACATCTAAACCTCACCTAGTCCATGGCATGATCTTTAGAAACACAAAGCCCCTTTCTGCTTGGAGCAGAAGTAACCTTTAAGCAGTACTCAATTATACAATGCTGGAGCAAACACCCATTTAATTTTTCATTTGCTGGCCAGTCAAAAGCCAGAAATCCCTTAACAATTTATGCAGAGCTTTACCTTTGGCACTACCAGCTAAACTGCTATACTGCTACTAGCCAATATTAAGCCAGAAACCCCTTAATTTCTGCAGAGCTTTACCTTTGGCACTACCAGCTAAACTGCTATACTGCTACTAGCCAATATTAAAATGAGCTGCCATGGTGTGAATCTCACCCAAAGCATGGAGCTCTCCCCTGGGGTAGTCTGAGAAGTTACTGAATCATAGAATTGTTTGGGTTGGAAGGGACTTTTAAAGATCACTTAGTTCCTACCACCCTGCCATTGGCAGGGACATCCTCCACTAGATCAGGCTGCTCAAAGCCTCATCCAACCTGGCCTTGAATGTTTCCAGTGAAGGGCATCCACAACTTCCCTGGGCAACCTGTTCCAGTGTCTCACCACCTTCACACTGAAGAATTTCTTCCCGATACCTCCTCTAAATCTACCCTCTTCCAGTTCAAAAGTGTTACTCCTCATCCTGTTGCTACAGTCCCTGATAAAGAGTCCCTTCCCATTTTTCCTGTAGGCCCTCTTTAGGTATCAGAAAGACTGCTACATAAGGTCTCCCCAGAGCCTTCTCTTCTCCAGGCTGAACAACCCCAGCTCTCCCAGCCTTTCCTCACAGGAGAGGTGTTCCAGCCCTCTCATCACTTTTGTGGCCCTCCTCTGGACCTGTACGAGCAGCTCTATGTCCTCTTAACTGCTGGGGGCCCTGGAGCTGAACACTGCACTCCAGGTGGGAACTGCTGAATGTCACAATAGATTTAGATAAAACTCTTTTACTCCACACTTGCACCCACATGCATTCTCCACATGCCTTCCTGCTTCTCAAAGAGTGAATGTCATCTTGCCCTGTCTCATCAGGATGTTTTGTGTTCTGTTAACCTTCACCTCATGATATGTGTAAGGGCTCTAAGAACTGAGGAATCCAATGTCACATTCAGCTTCTTCCCTCTCAAGTCCCACTTTATGTTGTGCTATGCAACATTCATGCCACAGTCCATCATGTATGCCTCTAAATGATACATATTTCTAACATCTGATTGTAACAGCTATAGAGAACAGATGTAAAAGCAGTACAAAGCTCAAGAGGCATATACAAACAGTTGTGGGTTACTAGTGCCAATTCACTGCTCAGATGTCAACACAATAACAAGTCCCTGCATGAGATTTTTTAATGCTCAAGGGGGAAAAAAAAACCAACCCAACCCCACCCCAGCATTCTAGCAGTAAGCAGCATGGCAAGGCCCAGTCTGCTTGTGTAAGTCTCATCTCCAAACCACACGCAGCACGTTATTTGCCATGGACAGGACCAGGATTCCTGGGCTGACAGGGATCACTTGGGTGCCTTACCGCAGCTGCAGTCCTTTGTTTGTGCGGGTGCCACCGAGCTGGTAAACCTTTGCAGTCTCCACCACACCAGTGATTTCAGCAACCTGCACCACAGTGTAAGAGACACAAGAGGAAGGATGCAAGATGTTTTGGAGTGGTGGTTTTTTTTTTGTGTGTGTTCTTGGAATATATCTAGCATATTCAAGCCTTTTCACTAAAGATCAAAAACCTTAATCTAACAATTCCAACGTTATTAAGGAAAGCAAGACCCTTCAGTGTACATTATCAGGTACTCAACACTTTCCTGCCTGTCCTATTTCCTTTTTGATGAACACTAGTTTGGGTACACGTATGCCCTACAAGAACCACACCAGTGCTGCTCATATACTAAACACAGCCCCCCCGGGGACATTTTCAGTGTAATTTTAGAGACTGCTATTATTGCATCCTATGATTGTGCATTTACAGTACAGCAAAACAAAACTGTGCTCTCTATTACTTTCTCTTCTGAGGCACACTGATTGACTACAAACACTTTGTAAAGAAAGAACTGAGACCGTGCAATAATTTGGGAGCATGCCCAGAAATAAGGAGTGAATGTTACTCATCCTTACTTGGTCAAAGCAGAGTCCCAAACTCTAGTCTGCAGGATGAGACAAGACAGCATGAACCTAAGCTGGAAGAACAGGCTCTCCTAGTGCTCCTTCTCTCTAAATATATCTCTTCAACTAGCTGGTCCTATAGATTTATATAAATAAATATTTAAACCAGCCTCCTCCACTTCTTTGGCAGCAAAACAAGGCAGCATGAACCAAAGCTGGAAGAACAGGCTCTCTTCGTGCTCCTTCTCTCTCACTAAATATATCTCTTCACCTAGCTGGTCCCATAGATTCATATAAATACTTCAACCAACCTCCTCCACTTCTTTAGCACCCATTACACCTTCTGGTTATAACCACTCATTGTCTACTAATCGCTCACACAGGCACTGAAGAGCTGCTAAGCTGCCAACGATGTGCCCCTGTGAGAGTGCTCCGAGGCCTCCCCCCCGGGGCAGGGCTCACCCGGTAGACAGGTTTGCTGTTGTGGTTGCCGATGCCGATGCGGACGAAGCAGCCGGTGACTGTCTTGGCAAAGAAGGGCATGTGGCACCAGCGCTCCAGCTTGTGCCGCGACAGCCGCACGCGGTTGGCAACGACACCGGCTGCGACTTGGGAGGGATCTCCTCTTTCCTGAGTGGGGAAAGGAAGAAAACATTTTTTTTTGAGGCATCATCACCAAAAGAAGAGGTCCTGAGGAAGATGCAGCGTGAGGGCTGACTACTTAAATTGAAAAGGGATATCAGAAATAGCAGCTTTATACAAGAGAAGTGATTCGTCACGCCCTGGTTGACTGTGGATGTGTGAATTTAGCACTCGTGAGACAGGCTTGATGAGAAGTCCCAGTCTTGTTACCTGCTGCCCCAAAGCAGACAGACACACACCCCCACCAAGGCAGGCTGTAAGCCAGTGCTTTGAGATGAAGCCAGCACATATCTCAGCTCTCCTAACAGGCCAGGGTTCTGTGGCTGCAAAAGGAATCTGCAAACACCAGTGTAAGTGGGGCATAAAAGACAGTGTAAATGGGACTAAATGGGGCTAAAGGGAACGGCAGGAAACTGAGGTTGCAAACCCATCCAAGGTAAATCTGTCCCATGCACCATGATATAGAAGGCGAGGGACTCAAATCTGTGCAATGCAAGTGTGCCCAAAGGCAAAACCACTTTAGAGACACAGAATGGTCCCCAAACAATCCTCTAAAACAGCCTCTGTCTACATCAAGTGCAGCTCTGGTTTTGAACACACATTCACAAGTAATCATAGTCCTGTGTTTGCTACTTACTCTTCCTCTTCATCAGAGGATGAGGATCTGGATGAGCGATCACTTTTCTCACTAGATTTATCATCTTCCTCCTCCTCTTCATCATCAGAGTACACTTCACTAGTTTTTAATGGCTGTTTTTTTGCAAGCAGTTCAGCTGGGAGGAGGACAGAAAACAAGAATGAGCAAGTTGTACATTTTTATTAAAGCTTCCTTTCACACATGAGACTTTATTGATTTGGGATTTGTTTAAAAAAAGGCTGATAGCTGTTAATTTTACACTGAGTGCAGGCACTGCATGTTCAAATCCACTAACAGGCTAAACACTCAATCTTATATATTTAAAGAGAGGACCACAATGAAACCAAATAGAGTAACAAAGAGTGTCACTTCAAAAGTTTGTGGCAAGGTGGGCAACTTGATGTGCCAGTGAAGAAACAAGTAAATGTAGACTAGGTAGCAAAGGTACAATAAATACAGTTTGGATGGGTCAGAGATTAAATAACAGAATCTAACTGACTAATTCAAGTATATCAACTAAATATTGCTAAGTGCCATACAGTGGGCTGCAATGAAAGTTTACTTTATTTTTCAGACCATTCCAGGAAGGGGGCAAGGGGTGGAATACAGCATTAGTGATGTCAAACAACACCCCAGGTGGTCAAGCTGGGCAAACAACAATGGAAAACACAGAGACAGAATTAATTTGCTCCAAGGCATGGGACTGTTCCATTAATGAGAAACAGGAAGTAGCACTTTCAGAAAGCTGTAATAATGCCTCAAGCACTGCAGCAAACACTTTCATACCTGTTCTGTTCTTCCTCTTCTCTCTTTCTGCTTTTAGCTCCTCCATTGCCTGAGATTTCTTGTCTAGCTTCTCATCCCGCTTTGATCGTCGCTCTTTGTTATGTGACATGACCTAAAAACACACACAGAAAGTCTCTCAACACCAAATGCAACCTGCAGACTCAAATGCATTAAACCAAACATGGTTTGCATGCTTTGAAAACTTTAAATAGGAACTAGCAACCAACTCCTTTTCGTGGAGTCAGGTTTTTTCAAGTCTATTTTTACAGAGGCTAAGGAGAGGGGAAATCAGTCTGAAGTAGATTTCTTTTTTCTGCTTTGTATTGAAAATAATGAATATATTTACACTCCAGCATTTCTGCCAGCAAAATTTAGTCTCAAAACTCCTCCTTAAAGTTAAAAAAAGGCTAGAGAAATTAAATGGCTGTAATTAGGCAACTAGCAAAGTAATGAGGAAAAATTGGATGGAAATTCTTATTTGCTTCTCCTTCTGCAAGGCTAAATCAAAGCACTTGTTCTCATTCAGTAGCAAAAAGAATAAGTTATGTTAAAAAAATACTTGAAGCAGAAATAGAGTTGTGTGTAAAGTGCACTACGGATCCAAATCTTAAATTTTGTGGGTTTTCCAATATTTTCCATTTCTAACAGGTCTGTCTGGAATACCAGGTAGCACAGAAAGCAGCTTCTATAATAAGCATAAGAGACAATCATCTGAAGTAAAGTGAGAGTAATTCCTGGAAGACACTGTAAATGAGCTCTGCATAAAATTCTTCTATAAGTGTATATATCTGTATGTGTTTACACATTATGTATTATATATATGGACTATACAAGTACCTAAACATACAGAATATGGAGTTGAGAGGGGCAGGGAGGTGAAAGTCACTCCACTTAACATGTGCCGAAGGGAAAACTCATCTCACCTAATTTGATTTAAATGTTAAACATCTATTTCACTAGAAAATAACACAGAGTGAGTGATTTATCAGCTGGAGATGCCTACACACCCACTGGCCAAAGACAGGGATGAAAACAAGTACAAACAATCAACTAATTCCTAGATGGCTAAAATTAGGCAAGATGAATCCCATCCCATTCTGGGAGCCTATCTGCCCAGATTCTATAAATAGGAAAGGGCAGGATCTTATGCCAATTCAGCCACTTAAAACCACAGTTCAGTTACAGAGATCTCACCCCCAAAACTGATATTATCCTCTTTCTGCTGAAAGTGGAAAACCTGTGTGAATACTTCTGTTCCTCCAAGCATTCAAGCTTTTCCTTGACACCCTTACCAGTAGAAACTAAGCACTCACAAAATAATGAAAACAACAGCTGAGCAGTTTCTGGCTTGTTCTCTCAAATTTTCACTTGCAAGAAAGACTGTGTATGTGACACTTCAAACTGAACAACAGAAAGTTGGCTAAAGGAGCTGCAGAAGATTGCTTTCTTGTTCTCAGGCAGGACTATCACAGCAACTCTAGACATTGTCCAACTTTGCATTTTTCATTACCACTGCATCCCTCAGCAGGCCAGAGATGTGAATTTCTTTAAATGAACTGGAAAGTCTAAAGATAGCTTGAATATATACATGAACTAAATTCTGACCTGTTTACCACTTTGACATTAAGGGAAATCATCATGAGCAGAGAGAGGCAGCATTCTATTTCCTAGTGAACCATGGAATCATTAAGGTTGGAAAAGGCCTCTAAGGTTGTCAAGTCCAACCATCAACCCAACACTACCATGACCACTAAACTAGGTCCCCAAAGTGCCACATCTACATGTTTTATGAATCCCTCCAGGGATGGTGACTCCACCACCTCCCTGGGCAGCCTGTTCCAGTGCCTGACCACTCTGTCAGTCAAGAAATTCTTCCTAATATCCAGTCTAAACCTTCCCTGGTGCGACTGAAGCCCATTTCCTCTTGTCCTATCACTAGTTACTTGGGAGAAGAGACCAACATCCACCTCACTCCAACCTCTTGCCTGGGGTTGCTGTGACCCAAGTGCAGGACCTGGCACTTGGTCTTGTTAAACCTCACACAACTGACTCCTGCTCAGTTTGGTGTCATCTGCAAACTTATTGAGGGTGCAAAGGATTGCCAAGGGAAAAGTTTATTACTAAGGACAGTTTCAATTCCTACCTGGGATTCCTGGATCTGTGTGAGCTTTTTCTTCTCCTGCTCTTCCTCTTGCTTCTTCTTTTTCTCCTTCTTTTCTTTCTTTTTTGCTGTTTTTAGTTTCTTCTTGATTTCAAATCTGTAGCAGATAATGAAACAAAAAGAACATATGAAAGAATCCTTTCTTCCTGAATAAGCAAAGAACTGCTCAGATACTATCACAGCTTAAGTTGGAAGGAATATTTCCACTGCTTCTCCCCAGATGGATAAGCTTTAAACAGTATCCTGTCCCCCATTCCCATCCCCTCCATTCCACAAGAAAAATGAGGTGAAGAAAAGCTGAGCATAGGAAAGTGTAGGCTTACAAACAGTTAACCTAAGGGGCTAAGGTGGCCACATAATAATGTGGCTACTCCCCAGAATTCTGTCCTTACTCCATCTTCCTCTTTGTCAGTGCACTGACCATTTCATCCTGTCTCCAGCTCTAAAAACAACTGGCCATTTCACATCACTTGAATCTCAACAGCTAAAAAATGGGCTGTTTAAGGCCACCATCATGGTAACTTTTTCATGCCTAAACTCCCACCTTTCCACTGGCACTGGTCTAAGAACAACTACAAAGAAATCACAATGAGTCCTCCTTCAGCAGCTACATTCCAGCCAGACTCAGGCATTTTCTGCAGACCAGTTTCTACCTTCACAAAACATTATCATGGAATGGTCTGGGTTGGATGAGACCTTAAAGATCACATAGTTCCTACCCCCCTGCTCAAAGCCCCATCCAACCTGGTCTTGAAGATTTCCAGGGAGGGGGCATCTACAACTTCCCTGGGCAACCTGTTCCAGTGTCTCACCACCTTCACACTGAAGAATTTCTTCCTGATACCTCCTCTAAATCTACCCTCTTCCAGTTCAAAAGTGTTACTCCTCATCCTGTTGCTACAGTCCCTGATAAAGAGTCCCTCCCCATTTTTCCTGTAGGCCCTCTTTAGGTTCTGGAACCACTGCTACATAAGGTCTCCCCAGAGCCTTCTCTTCTCCAGGCTGAACAACCCCAACTCTCTCAGCCTGTCCTCACAGGAGAGCTGCTCCAGCCCTCTCATCACTTCTGTGGTCCTCTTGGAATGCATGAGCAGGTCCATGTCCTTCTTATGCTGGGGACCCCAGAGCTGGACACAGTACTCCAGGTGAGGTCTCAGGAGAGTGGAAGGGAAGAATCACCTCCTTGGACCTGCTGGTCACTCTTTCTGACACAGCCTAGGATGCAATTGGCTTTCTGGGCTTCAAGTGCACATTGCTGGCTGATATGTCACCCTGAAATCTTACTGTCAGCCACTATATTCAGAAAAGTAGCAATTTTGCTGGAACTGTCACATGACAGAGATTCCACCATAGCATTGACTGGTCATTGCTTCAGTGCACATGGACAAGCACCAGAAAAAAGTTACCTACAGTAACTGAAATTCAGAACTTGTAAACCAGATACATCTCACACTGTTGAGTTGTCTTCAGTCCTTTACACACAGGTTTTGTAGACAAGAAACTGAAGTGCCAGGTGAGCTTGTTGCCCTTTATGCCTTCAGCATGAAGCATAAGGGAGAGGGCAGAGGCCCCAGACACACAGTGCCTGCTGTAATCCCAGTGAACTCACAGCACAATGCAGAGAGTCAGATGGGATTTTGAAAGATTCCACTTACCAAAGTTAAATAAGGACTCCATCACCCCTTAGTTCTCCCTGCCAACCCCTTTGCAAAGAACAGGACAAACTCGTTTCAGACTAAATCAGTAGCTCAAGCTCAGACTGTTCAGCTCGTTTGTATCAACTGTTCTCCAATTCTAGAAGACATTCACTTACCACTGAACAGTGAAAGAAATTTAGAAACAGTGTCCTTCTACCTGATCTAAATCAAATCTCTCATTCATCCTGACCCCTTTGAGGAGAGCAGCAGACTAGAGAAGACACTGAAAGTAGTATTAAGACCACAGCCAGACTGGCAGTGCTCTAACTATGGTTTAGGCAAATGGACAGTCTGACAGTAGCTTGAATTGACATCATTTACTCAACAGATGTTGATCCTCTAAGGAAATTTCTCAGCCAGTGAGAAAAGAGAGAAGTCACTGAAGAGGAAAAACTGGAGGAAACATGCCCCACAAGCCAAATCTTTTCTGTTAGTCACATGGTAAGAAGAACATAGCTGTACCACAAGGAAGCTGCCTGACAAGCCATTGTTAGAGGAACAAACAAAACCACAACACCCAAAGGTAGAAATCCACAAACCATCCCTTGAAAAGAACAACCAACATGACTCCCCATTATTTCAGTCTCCCTCTCTTCTATTGGGGCCCCAACCAGCTTCACACCCATACAGAGGCAACCCTGTTCTCTGCTTCATTATTATTTTCTGAAAACTTCCAGAAGTCCCCATGCACCTTACACCTTGTCTGCCCCAAACATGAGAGCTCAGTCAACATACTCTCCATGCAGCCTGTATGAATTTGCTACCAAACAGATATGAAGGTCACCTTCTCTTTAGCACTTCTCTCTTCTCTATCCTGTTAAACAGCTCCTGCTCTCTCTCCTTTTCTGTCATCTGCTCCAGGCGAGCCCGGTCTTCTTCATCTCCCATCAGGTCTTCTCCATAGCCATCATGGAATTCCTCATCTTCAGATGAAGAATCTGAATCTGAGCTAGAGGAGGAGCTGTTGCTTTCAGAGTCAGAGACTTCTCCTGAAACAAAAATACAAGGCAGTGAGATCTACCTGGGGAGCAGAGCTAAATCTCCTCCTGGCAGCACGTTAGCAAAGGACTCCAGGAATGAATCCTACACTCCTCTTCCATTACACTGAGAGCACACCTAGCACAAAAACTACAGCCAAAAACTACAGCCAGCTTGAAATACTTCAGTACTGTAAGACAGACATGCTAAAAAAATGATAAAATGAGTGGTACTACATGTGAACACAAATTGGCTTATAAGTAAAGATTCTTATAACAACAAGCAAATTTCAGGAGGCCTTTTGGTTAGTGTCTTAGGGTCTTAAGCTTAGACTTCTAAAAAAAAAAAGTGTCTGGAGGAGGAGTAGGGAAGTGATGGTGCTCCTGGAGTTGGCACTGATGAGGCCACATCTTGAGCCCTGGGTTCAGTTTTGGGCACCACGGTGTAAGAAAGACATTGAGGGGCTGGAGTGGGCCCAGAGAAGGGCAACAGAGCTGGTGAGGGATCTGGGGAACAGGTCTTATGAGGAGTGGATGAGGGAACTGGGGTTGCTTAGTCTGGAGAAGAGGAGGCCTAGGGGAGACCTTCTTGCTGTCTACAGCTACCTCAAAGAGCCTGGAGTCAGGTGGGTGTTGGTCTCTTCTCCCAAGTAACTACCAATAGGATGAGAGGAAATGGGCTTCAGTTACACCAGGGAAGGTTTAGACTGGATATTAGGAAGAATTTCTTGACTGACAGAGTGGTGAGGCACTGGAACAGGCTGCCCAGGGAGGGGGTGGAGTCACCATTCCTGGAGGGGTTTAAAAAACATGTAGGTGTGGTACATCAGGACCTGGTTTAGTGGCCATGGTAGTGTTGGGTTGATGGTTTGACTTGACAGTCTTAGAGGTCTTTTCCCACCTTAATGATTCTCTGCCTACATGCCTATGTCCCTGGCAAGCTGCTTATACATCCCCTAACTTTGTGTGTATGTGCACACCTCAAAGGCCACTACTAACCACCACCAATATTCTCCATTATAGCCACCTGAAGGCTCTAAATCCATCATTTGAAGACCACAATGCTATGAATTGCTGCATCAGAAGATAAAGTTGAAGCATGCTACCCTCAGGACTGGCCAGGCTGTGATGCTAACTCCATCACTGTAACAAGCCCTCCCAGTTACACATGGGCTGAGGGACCAGCTGATTCTCTAGTAATATTGGGTAACACCACCTTCAAACTTGATTCAAGTCCAAGTGCTCTATGATTCTCTCACCTGATCAACCACATTACACCAAATCACAGAAGCAAACATTAGGATTCTTTCTGTCACTTCCATTCTGGTCTCAGTATTTCTGGAAACTGCCAGTTTCACAAGCTTACACTGTGAAAGCCTTGATTTGTAAGCACTGGTACATACAGGTTCAGCCCCTTCATGCTGTGTTTAATACAATGAGAACTGTAAGCTCCTTCATATTCTTTCTCAACTTTGGTGGTTTTTCTTATTTAGTGTCAACTGAAATTGCAACTAACCACCTGCAAACCTTCATGGGCATGACTGAAGCAAGAAACAATACAGGAAGTTTGCCTGGCATTGGAACAGATTCAATATTCACATAAAAAAAAACCCCAAACTTCTGACAAAGCAATAGTAATGATTTTTCTTCTTCTATGTCAGTATAAATGTGCAAGAATTCCAGTTCAGAGCAAAGGTATGCAAGATAAGCTCCTATTTGCATCATGCAACCCTGTACACCTCTCCTCTTGTCATCACAAGAAGTCTGGGAAGTGAAAATACATCAGTGGGAATAAAAGGAAACAAATCTATGGGAATAAAATAAAATGCTACCCACACTACAGATGGGGCATGCTAGAAGGAAGAAAAGAATGTTCCAGGAGAAGGTCAAGTAACTAAATATGTCACACACTCTTCAGCTGAAAGACTGTGGTTGTAACAGAGTGCTCACAGCCATGCTGTACTGAATTATAAGCACTCCAAGCCATGGTAAACTAGAGAGTCATCCAGACTACCAGCAACACAAAGAAAACTCTTTGAAGGTAGTCTTTGCTATCAGCATTTCACATAACTCTTCAGTGTGCACAAAGAGGCAACTACACTTGGAATTAGGCTGTTAGTAGATGCAGAGATGTTAACTCACCCTCCTCAGGTGCTGAGCTCTCGGCAGAGCTGTCTTTATCTGAGCTGCCTGAAGAGGCAGCTTTGTTCATCTGCTTCTTCATGGCTCCTTTCTTCTCTGTCTTACTGGCTTTTCCCTTTTTTTTGTTTTTAGAACCCCCAACAGTCCACTGCAAGGAAAGAAACAAGAAACAGATCACAAGATAGGAACATCACTCCCCCAAAACACTGGAGTAAAACCAGCTGAGAAACACATCAATATCTGACAGCAATAAATCAATCAGACAAGGAAGGAAACATTAAATGAAACCATTTTACAAGTTTTGCTGGGTTTGGTGGGATGTGGTTGTTTTGGAGTGTGGGATTGTTGGGGTTTTTTAGGGTTTTGTTTTGGTTTTCTAATGAATCAGTTATCAGCACAAGCCAACAGCTGGTAGAAAAACAATGAAGACTTCAGAGTCTGCAATATCTGCCAGGAGAAAGAGATCCTGAGAACATCTTCCTAGGAAAATATTTTTAAACAAGTGTCCAACTGCATCTCTAAAGATTAGCTTCAATTTACTACTATGAAACAGATATGTTTCCAAAACTAGCTTATTCAAGAGCAAATTTTAGATTCCATAAAGGCACAGGGGCCAAACATGACAGTCTATCCAAAATCTCAGTTTTACCAGGAGTACACAGCACCTGTGTTTTTATGCACCAAACCAACAGCATACCCAGCACAGACAGTAGTGTCCCCACCTGCACCCATGGACTCAGGTCAGAATCACAGAAGTCAGGAAAAGAAGAAGAAAAAATATCCAAATTTCAAGTCTTCATTTTAATTTTCTCTTAATACCATATCTTCAATTAACCTAGGCTGCAGTTTTCAAGTAGAGGACTTACACCACTACCCACATTTTCCACTTCACTGCCTCTCCAAGAAAATCTCCAGTTGTAAGACCTTCAGGGATAAGACAGTTTCTTTCTAAATATATAAATATTTAGACTGTTATCCTCTTCATATCTGTACATTACTCTTATCTTTCATGCCCAGCACCACCTCTTCAAGCACACAGTCTATGAAAAAAATATATTCCTAATTCAAAGTAGCAAATACTCTTTTTGCATAGCTGATAACTTGCACTCAAAACTACTCTAACTGGAATAAAAAAAACCTTTTAGATTTGCTCTCAGGTGCACACAGGCTTCAGGTTTCTCACCCATCCACCCCTTCCTGGGGATGAATCAAGCCCATCTCTGCAGGCAGTAATCATTCCATCAAATTTGATGACTACTTCTGCCTGATTAGGCACCATCTTCAGAGAACCCTGGTGTTCAAATAATCTAAATGAAGCTCAACCGTGTAGAAACACAGAATTGTTTTGGCTGGAAGAGACCTTTAAGATCATTGAGTCCAATTGTTAAGCCAGCACCTCCAGGTCACCACAAAACCATGTCCCTCAGCACCTCATCTACATGCCTATTAAATCCCTCCAGGGATAGGGACTTCACCACCTCCCTGGGCAGCCTGTTCCAGTGCCTGACAACCCTTTTGGTGAAGAATTTTTTCCTAATATTCAACCTAAACCTCCCCTGGTGCAACTTGAGGCTGTTTCCTCCTGTCCTGTCGCTTGTTTCTTGGGAGAAGAGACCGACCCCCACCTCACCACAACCTCCTCCCAGGTAGCTGTAAAGAACAATAAGGTCTCTCCTGAGCATCTTTTTTTTTCCAGGCTAAACAACCTCAGTTCTTTCAGCTGCTCCTCATAAGTCTCGTGCTCTAGACCCTTTACCAGCTTCACTGACCTCCTTTGGACACACTCCAGCACTGCAATGTCCTTCTCATATTGAGAGGCTCAAAACCAAATCCAGCATTCAAGGTGCAGCAGTGAGTAGTTAGAAACTATGGCCTGATCTATTACTATCTTTAGAATTTCCTAGGTTTTGATGACTCTCACACCCAGCCCTGTCCCTTCCATATGGCCAACCACTTCATCATCTTCTTTAAGCATCAGCTATGTATTCAAAAGTGTCTTTTAAAGGCCAGGCAGAGCTCCCAACTGCAGTCCCCACCCTAAGCAGTTACTCCAGCCTGTTATGGCCCAGAAGATAGGTGTTCAACCAACAGTTGAAAACACATCAGTGTAAAAGTGAAACAGAGCACTTAGCAGGGAGGAGCAGAGCCCTCTGATCCAGGCATGCAGAAGGGTCTCCCTCCCAGAGCTCTGCCACTTCTCTTCAGTGTTCTAGCCCTGAACTGTACCTTCTGTCAGCATGCTGTCTAGCAAGGAAGAAGCCCAGAGAAAACCACAGCATACACCACAGCTATATCAAGACCTTGAGAGGTCGTGCTGAGATGAAAGGAATTAAGATTAGATAAGAACAGCAGGACTTCAGCTGTTCATAAAATGTTTCATAGCTGTAGGTACATGTGTTACAGATCACTGTTCCCAGCCTTTGACTCCCTAGTGGAACTGTAGAGAGAACCTGTGTCCAGTAAGACAGGACACAAGAGAAAGCTGTGTGACCTCTTCAAGAGGAAAAAAAAAGGCAATTAAAAAAAAATCTGCCCTAATCTAGGAAATTTTGCTTTAGTTTCACCCTGGAGACTACAATTTGTCTCAGGTTTCTTTATGCAAGTGACCTCTACATCTTTTAAGCCACAATAACTGGTTCTCACCTCCCAGTTTCAGTGCCATGACAAAGCCAAATTCTTCCTCACTCACCACAGGTGCTTCAGGAGTTACTCAGCTACCTCACCTCTCATGAATACCTGGTCATTTCTGGTACCACTACAGGACAAGACAAGGGTTTAACCAAGTCTTAAGGACAAATAAATCATCAAACCCAGGGTGTAGTCAGTGCAAGGCTCTTATAGGCTCAGAGAGCTGTGCAGGCTCAGGAACTGTCAGTTGTCATCTGGATGGACACCAAAAGAGCACCCTGTGTCCTTCAGAGACAGATTAACATCAAGTTTCTTTGTACAGCAAAGGAAGATGTAACAGAGGTTGGCAGTTCTGAGGCAGGGGGACACAGTACTGGAAAGCCACGAGCTGCATGACAACTTGCAGTGGAAACCAGAGTCTTGAACCCCTTTCCTCCCATGCCAGCACCCCAGGGGAGTTCAGAAAGGCAACAACACGTCTGCATGTAACACCAAGTAAAACCATGCACACAGTTCCAGTCAGAAGCATGTCTGCTCTGTTCTTAACTCCACGTGTATTTTCCAAAATCTCCCCTCTATTGCAGCTTCTCCAGGTTCCCCCTTCCACGTTCCAGCCAGGCAGAGCCAGTCAGCACTTCTCACAGGCCTTCCACGAGCACAAGGGCTGCTCTGAGCAGCCCCTCTGTTCACTGCTGCCTCCTCAGCCACCATCTGGGGCTCTCCACCATTCCAGACACAACAAGCTAATAAAGCCATGCAGAATCATGCTGCAACATGGCTTGCTGCTTATTGTTTAGTTCAGGCGAACAACAGAGCTTTATGGTTCATCCACAGGAAGCAGCCAGAAGAAAATCTCCACTTTTGCTCTTCACAGTGCTAACAGCTTGCCTATTTCCCCCCCAAAAAATAGCTGGACTCCATGATCTTGAGGGTCCTTTTGAACCTAAATGATTCAATGAATCTAAGAAGTCCAAGTTAAGTACCCAGGATGGACTGTCAATAAAAAAAAAAACAAAACCCCACAAAACAAAACCACCACCACATAAGAAATTAGCTAGATTCTACAAAAACAACTAGAAAAATGATGGAAGAAAATCATTTACACCTCCACAAACCTGGAACATACTTCCACTAGGGAGATGAAATGAGAACAAGGAGGAATAAATTGAGCTCAGAGTGCAGAATGCAGTGGAATTGTTTTAGCCCTGCTGCTCAGACAGTACCCTTTATCCACTGAGGTTTCATTTTCCAAATAGGTGTTCTCCCTACTTTTTTGTTTGTTTTTTTAACCTCAAACTGGACAGGGATGCACAGCCAAGGTTATCAGCCTCTCCTTGCCATATCCTTCCCCCCTGGATATGGCTTTTATAAGCAAAAAACAGACTACAAGCTACAAGATCAAAGCAAACCAGGTCCCTCACCACTGTGTTCCTCTCCCAGGCCACATCCTTTTATACACCACAACAACCTGGAAGCTTAAGAGCACCAAGGTACAGAACATCAGCCCAGGTTATGAACTTCTACCCCTTCTCCTCCATTCACACAGAGAAAAATCCTCTGTACAAGTGCTCTGGTTGCAGTTTCAGCCTCTCTGAAGACAACGGCAGGCAGCAGAGATGGGAAGGTAAGGCAGCATTTACTGTCTTCAGGTTTCCTCAAAGCTGGGAGAACTCCAGAGGCAGTGCTACAAGGAAAATGGTCTCTACCCACAGTCCATAAAAAGCCCTTGTTACTTTGCTGCCTTTCTGAACCTGCCATTTGGGTGTCAAACACCTTCACAATGACAAGAGCCCAGCAATTAGAAAACTTAAGGGGACCATTTCAGACACAAAGAGGAGACTCAAGGTGTGGACACCAAGATGGAAAGAAGATAAGCAAATAAAGGAAATGCCTCCTGAAGAGGCTTTATCAGAAAATGGCTGAAAGAAGACTACATGGGCCAAACATCACCAGACACTTGATCCACCCTTACTGTCCAAGTACTGCTCAAAGGAGCTCACAGAAAGGTAGCTATGGGAAAAAAAAGTCTACATAGAGTAGGTTTAAATTCGAGTTAGTGGTCATGGTAGCATTGGATTAACAGTTGGACTTGAAGATCTTAGAGGTCTTTTCCAACCTTAATGATTCTATGATGAAGGTGCAAGTTAACAAATGCTTTATAAGTGTTTTGAGGGGTCCATGCACTGAAAAATGGAATGAACTGAGTGACAACACTGAGATGGTAGACACCAAACACAATGCAGAAGCACTCTCCATAACCAGAACAAACTTGGGGATGCTACTGACTGTGAAAACCTGCAATGTTTTATTTAGGAAGCCTGGGCCAAATCGCTGGAGATGGCAACAGCCATAAAACAGTTGGTCAACAAGTGCCTTGGATGGTTCTAGCATCACCAGCCAAGAAGCATCATCTGGACTAACACAGGCTTAATGACTTCTCTAGATATTAGACAGCATCTTGTGACTGGATTGTTCTCAGCAAAAACTGCTCCCCGAGGAGAAGTTCATGCAGTGAAAAAAATTAAGTAAAATCACATATTCAATTCCAACACCTCCATGAGTCTATTCTGGGAGCAACTTGCTCCACTTCAGAGCTCCTGCAGACTCATACCACACAAATCCAGTCCCCAGAAGTTATCCCTGTGACAGTGTGCAATGGAAAGAAGCTACCTGCAGACCACATTTTATGACTATTTTGTCCACTGATGGTTCAAATTACTTCTTTGGGGATGCCAGCCTCCATACAATTAGCCTGGGTTATTTGGTGGGGGAGGTAAGAGCACCTCTCCTCTTTAAGGAAAGCTTTACCAATGCACTCCTTCACAGCTGAAGGAAACTGCCTCCAAGAAAAGTGGAAATTACAGAGCACACAGCCTGTAAGCCTGAGCAAAAGATTAAAGCTCACTGAACTCCAGCTCAGGAAAACAAAGCGTTCAAGACATAACTTTTCTTGTCCTGACATATCTTCTGCTTTCACCCTAGAGCTGCTAAAAGGCACAATTAAACCCCTCACATCAGAAGGAGGGTAGAAGGATGCACAGACTCACATCAGCATTACTAACAAACCTTTCAAGAGAAACAAACAGGAGCTCCTACAGCATTGTGGCTTTCTGCCTAACCTAGACATCCATCACATCTTCACTGATGTTAGTGAAGTTGTTGCAGAAGTCATCCAGGCTTTAGCACCCAACAGAAAGAACCCTGCTGTTGTAAGCAATGATGCCAGGACAAAAGGTGAGGGCATAACCCCAGAGTTAACCTACTGCAGCTGAGGAACACCATCCACATAATGTCTTCAGTAAGCAATGAGGGCACCTTGTGCTCACATACCTCCAGTACAGTAGCCCCAATAGTAACTTCAAATGGTTTGGGTTGGAAAGGACCTTAAAGGTCATCTAGTTCCAACCCCCTTGCCATTGCCAGGGACACCTCCCACTAGACCAGGTTGCCCAGGGGGCCCCATCCAACCCTGGTCTGGAACAAATCCAGTGATGGAGCATTCACAACTTCCCTGGGCAACCTGTGCCAGTGTCTCACCACCCTCACAGCCAAGAACTTCTTCACAATTTCTAATCTAAATCTTACCTTTTTCCAGTTTGAAGCCATTACCCCTCACACCATCACTACAAGCCCTTGCAGAAAGTCCCTCCCCAGCTTTCTTGCAGGCCCCATTCAGACACTGGAAGGCCACAAGAAGTTCTCCTTGGCTAACACCAGACTGGTTATGTACAGCAGGCTAACAGTTTAGGATGGTGAGCTCTGGGGTAGTCACGGCCACATGTTCTCCACAGACAAAGGAACTGTCTGCCTCAACATCTGCAAGCAGCTTAGTGTATCTTTGCAAAGCTAGTCCTTCCCACTGCAAAGCCCTGCAGTCACTGCTCTTCATCACTTCAGTGGACACCAGGTCACAGTTCAGCCATGCACGTTCCCCACACCCACCAGGAGATGGTTCAGGGCACCCCTCCTGTTTCACTGCCTACAACTCAGCTTCAACCCCTTTGTTAGGTGGTTTAACTCAGACCACATTGGTCCTTGGAGTGCTACAGAACCCAGCACCTGCACAGCAGGCCCCTGACGTGGCCAAGAGCTTTCCCAGAAGCACATTCTCACCAAGACACACAAAACACAACATTAAAGATCTCCTGAAACCCCTTGGGCATCACTGTACAGGCGTGGCATGATTTGTACCTGCAATTCCAAACTGCACTTTCTCTTCCCTACTCCCCACAAACTATTTTCCCCTTACAAACCCACAGAACACAGCACTAGCCCCTGCAGCAGAGATTCAGGCCCCTCTCCTACGTGTGACAGAGACAATCCTGGAACCTTTAGTGCTTGCCAGGAATCACAGAGGACGTGCATGCTACAAAACCTGCATGGAAGCACCAGGGTATGATTAAGCACGTTTGCCCAGGGTAACAATTTCCACACTTTTTGCCTTAAGGTCCTCATCTCACAGGATGTCCAGTAAGACAATTTCAACTTTTAGACCCCTCTCCCAATCCCCAAGATTGGGCAAACTTCAAACCAACCACAAGAACACCGACTAAACCCAAAGCTGTTTGGCAGGAGCAGTGTAATCAAGCCCAGGGATGCTCCCAACTGAATGACCAGCAGAAGCAGAGCTGTTTTAAGCCAGCATGTCTCACCCTGCTGTGACTACCAGCAGTTCAGAATGCATATTTCAGGCACAGGAATAGAAGCAAGTGTCCTAATTACTTCTTCTCTACATCTTTTTCCCTTGCTGCAGGGAGGTCAGAAAGAACAAAGTATCAATTAGAAATTATACATAGATTAGAAGGGAGTATCAAATGCCCACAGTGCCACAGAGATATTGCCACATCTGCAAGAGCCACCCAAATCTGCCATATTCTATAAAGAGTGGAAAGGTAGAGCTTATGGTTACTCAAGCTGAAGAAAAAGAATTTGAATAATAGTATTTATCCTGTCAGTTTTCAGACACAAACCCAAAACAAAAGGCTTTAACATCAACGTGCTCTCTACACCTAAGTCTACTCTTCCAGACAAGCTGGTCCCCACCTGAACACACAGTGACAGGCAGAGTGGTCACCCAACAACAAACAAAATATGTATCATCCATCCACAGTTTTCTCTCTCCTTAAGTCTTAAGCATGTATTACATAGAAGAATCACTATTGTTTTTTAAGAAAAGGGTTGACTGAAACAGAGCTCCAAGCATATATATTTCAAAAATGCCTCAGAAAGAAAATTAAACCACACCTTCTGTACAGTTATTGGAAGAACTTTGCTACATGATCAAATGCTTAATAGTTTATCACTGGGCCACCCTGTTGGTCTTCAAATTGGCACAATGAATAATCCTCCCTGTAGTTTCAGAAAAAAAAAAATCCACCTCAAATAGCTATCTGTTAGATTTTTAAGAATAGATGCAATAAATGACATCACTACATTGTGTGGAAAGCTTGCAAAAGACATTTGCAAGCCTTCAAGAAAGCAGTTTTATTCAAATACCTGCACCACCCCTTTGTCAGTTCTGCTGTTTTAGTAAGTCTATCTCACTTTTCACTGATAGGCAAAGGCAGAGATTTTTAACCAGCTCTGCAACGTGGTAACAAGCACAAAAAATAAGAACAGAGTACCCTTGAAAAATGCCAGTAAAACCCACACTCTGCTGCACGTTCAAATGACCAGACAAGCTAGGTCACAGCAGGGTTCTTGGGGAATCCAAGCAGCTAAATAGAGCAGTTTTATCACCTCTAAAATAGTACCACTTTCCTTGACCCTTTTTTTCCTCTAAGGAAGCCTTCTAAAGCTGAAAACCTCTCTCCCTTAATTCAGAGTCCAGCTTTAGCAGCTTCTTCACCCACAGGCATTACACAAGGAAAAAACACCAGTTTTAAGCAGGGAGATCTTCAGACCATCCAAACATGAGATTAAACAGGCAGTCATCTTCTCTACAGACATTCAGACTATTTTGTATACAGTCACAATTCAAAGCACACGAACTAAAAGGGGGAAAAAAAGGTATTTCTGATTACACATCCTCTGGGCTTAATGGGTTTCCCCTGATAACCAGTCCCACTTACTGCAGGATAAATATTTTGTAAACAGTCACAAAGCATATGAACTAAAAGGGGAAAAAAAAAAAAGGTATTTTTGATTACACATCCTCTGGGCTTAATGGGTTTCCCCTGATAACCAGTCCCACTTACTGCAGGATAAATACACATTCACTGCTCCAGGTACAATCTATCAAATAACTCGTAGTAATGTCACTAATCCCAGGAGGAGCTCACCTCATCATCACTGTCCGAGGTCTCGGAGTCTGAAGAAGCTGTGGGCTTGCTCACAGGTGGCTCCTTCTCTTCAGAGTCACTGCGTTTCCGTTTGGCTAAAGACAGGAGCTCCTGGTGGGAAAACCCACACAAGTTTCAGTTTAGTTTCATCAGCCCAGGGTAGTGTGCAGGCACCTTCTTTGGGATACCTGAGCACATCCCAGCAACACGATTATCCCCACTGCCTAAGGCATGAAGTCTTATTTGTGTTTCATACATTTAAATGCACGCACACAATTTTCACACAACTGGATGCTACACAAAGATTTTGAGGATAACAAGTTCAGAGGAAGTAAATACTACTACCACCATTACTTTCTTGGTGTAAATGACCTAACAATTACTTTCAGAGTCATGTCCAGGTCTGTTTTATCCAGACTGGGTAGTAACTCAAAACATTAACCCAAAAATGTAAATATCACTAGAAAGCAGCTTCCTCTAACCAAAAGAGATGTTTGCAATTATACACTTCAAAAGGGAAATATTTCAGGCATCACCACAGTGTCCTGGCTGATAATATTTAGTCAGCCCAGTCAATTCCTTTCCACTGTCCCTACACACTGTAGAATGCACAGCTCTGGACAGGCACAGGGCAGGCATCAAGCTCCCAAGTGTGTGAACAACTACACAGAGCTGTTCTCCTCCAAAGGAAGCACTTTCAAAGGCAACACACAAAGAACTAAATGGCTCTCAAATAATCTCATTATCTGCTGTTCATAGCTTGTTCAGATGACAGAAGCAGTACTATAAAACAAATGTTTCTGAAGCTGCTCCCTATCTCTGTAGTCCATGACACATAATTTATTCTTAAAAACATTGCTCTGGGGCTGATGAACCTTAGCTGAGAGCAGAAATACAGTCACCCCAACTTCTGCAGTCTTGGGAAGTCAATGCTAGATTGGTTTGCATTATTTTCACAACTGGAAGATTATCTCCACAGTAAATGGATTACAATCTGGTATCTCAAATAAGAACATAACCACTGCAGAAACTAGAGGCCTAGGCTACTTACAAAAAAAATCCACTAGTAAGGGCATTTTATAAACCTCTCTCTGGAAAAGGCACACCATATCAACAGAGCACGTTCATACAATTAAAAGTTATCTTCAGGAAGCTCCTGATGTGTTGTACCTTTTCTAGAATTCCTCTCTCACAACTGTCTCTGAGTAGTCCTTCAACCCAGACTACCTCGGCTGGATAATATTTTGGCACATTTACCACTACTTTTATTCCACGCAATTTTCTTTCTCTCTTGTCTTTCTACCCTTGTTCTGTTTTCCAAGAGGCTTTCTTAGAAAGGCTCCTACACCTTTGATTCAACATTGCCAAGGGAAGCCGTCAAACACTTAACACCCATTCAGCACTCTCATCTTTAAATCGCACCCCTAAAGCATTAGCTAATCTTGCACATACACCTCCCTGCTGCTACAGCTGCTACAAAGAGCTCAGGGGAGGAGGAGGCACCTACTAGCCAGGTACAGCTGCAGATGCATGCTTCCAGTGAACAATGGAACAGATGCAGAACCATCCAGTCACTCCCACCGCTAGCACCCTGGCTGCCTGAGCCAGGCTACAGCTAGGCCAGCTCCCTCTATTTTCAAGCTCTGCAGGAACTACCAAACTAACACACTAGCAGTGAAATGTTGGCAACTCTGAGGACTCTAGAGGCACGCAAGATCAACAACATCAGGGCGTGCTCTGCTCCAGTATTTTTGTCTAATGGAGCCTTTGATTTGATTCTTCTGAACCTCCAAGCTGCAAAGCTATTTCTGAGTGTTTGGGAAGGCTTTTTACTGCAACGTAGCAACAGTTTCTATATCAAAAAACCCTGAAGGTCCAGAACATAAATTACATCAGACATGTGGCTGGTTAAATATGCCAAAGCCTACAGTTCTCCCCGAAAGAAGTGCTGCCATATAAGCTGTAACACACTCCACCTATAACGTCTTTATTCACCGTTTGAATCACACCATCAACAACTGAAACACCAAGTGAGTCTTGGAAAGCAGCTCCCTGCAAAGAGTTCTCCTGGCAGCCCTGCCACGGTTCAAGTGACACCAGGAGTTGTGCTTCCACTCCCAGGAGATGCCCTGATGAGAAAGAAACACTTCCCCTTGTTACATCTACAGGCTCCTAACTCCATGCGGTTTCCCATGCACAGATCTCCCTCGGCTCAGTGGCTCGGATCGAGGAGGGAGCGCTAAAACGTGAGGCAACAACCGCCCCGAGAGCCCGCCCGGCCGCCTCCCGGGGCTGCTGGGGCCGGCGGGAGGCCGGGACCTGATACGCTGCTCTGCTCTGCTCTGACGGGAGAGCGAAAGCGGCGCAGAAAAGTTGCCCAAGCCCTTCGGGCCTCTTCCCCTGCTCTCCGAGGGGGGAGCATGGCCGGCAGCCGGGCCTCGCTGCCCCCCTCCTCAGGGC